ATCGAATAGGGTAGTATAAATTATTATAAATGGCCTTGAATGGATGACGATGATGTCACAATAGGATGGTGTGGATACATTTGCATAAGTTAGGTATGTTTAATTCGAGGGAGTATTACATTATTACATTACGTTATTACATAAAAAAGAAAGGTAAAACTAGATGAAATCAGTTACACGGATTATAATTGTATAGCGTGGTTGAATATTTTCTTTTATTTGAGTACATAAGCAAACTCGTATAAGAGTACCATAGAGTGTCATAAAAAGAGAGATTGAATCTGGAAAAGTTCTGAATAGATCTGTTCACATAAACGTCGTTCAAATGTCTATCACGCGTGAGTCGACTATGGAGTACATCTTAAATTCCACGAAATAGGGTTGACTATCGTACAAGTCAAAATATTCTCCGTGGTGGGATCGTTCAGATAAAAAGCAACCCAATGCGTCACATCCCCACTACTGTCATCTGTGTTTGATACGAACGCTGCGGGATACTCCGACACTTTCGCCTTAGGCACGTGATCTCTAGCGTAAACAATGAAGAACGCATTTCTCCTGTACAGATTGGTCGCCAGAATACCATCCAGTTGATTCATGTTCACCACAGCTAGAAATCGATCAATACGTTTATGTCTCTGTCAATCTCGATACAGCTGTCGTATTCAGCATAAATCAAAACAGACACAGTCTCCGTCAATGCTTGTCTGAACTTAATCTCAAGGCCAATCTTTCCTTCTTGTATCAAATTGAGGTGATAATCGCTACCCGATTCGTGAGGAGTGAGAACAAATGCGAAGATTGTCTACCCATTGGAATATTCGTCCTGATTGATGCCAATGCCTTGGTCTTGACCGATTTTATTTGTACCGGTAAACAGGGTGTAATAACGTTTGAGTTCCATGTTAGCGTCAGCATCATCAGCTATTGATGTTGCGACATTAATTTTTCCAGCACCAATCTGCATTGATTTGACGTCCCCGCAATTCCTCCATTCGCAGGAGTGTTCGTGTACAACATCCATGATGTTCAGTCGAATATATCCGGAGATCTTCTCCTCTTCTTAGGCTTGGAAGAAATGACATGTAGCGTCGTTGTCTTCTTCTTTTGATGGTACGTCCTCTCCCCGTTTGAGAGGGTCTTCCAAATAAATTGCTCAATACCGAAAAAGTAATTTGACGACCCACAGTCTTTGCTCTACTCGAAGCCGCTTTTTTGAAGTTTTCCCCTTGTACAACATAACCTAGAATACCCAAACCGGCATCGAGCGCTGGTTTTGTCACGGCTTTCATACACTGTGTTAAAAGAGGCGTGGCTAATCCAGAAAACATACTTCCGATCTCATATTCGCGTTGCAGTCTCGCAGCATAAAATACAGGTTCTCGTCCAATCTGATTCATGTAGTAAATCTATAAATCCCCACGTGTGAAGTGTAAGGAAAATATCTGTTCATTTTTTGTTTTTCTTCATACTAGCGAAGGATGAGCTTTGCAAAACTATGCGTCACAATCACATGTCCGCGTTGAAATGGCACTTTCTCATCCATATCAGACCTTATATCAATCTCCACAGTCTCGAATATCGATGTTCGAATCGGGAGAAAGTATGGTTTGTTGTAAGTGTGATTGACGTTATCTCCGTGGGTTCCTTGAACTATTGACTATTCTCAAGAGAGGTACTGAAACGTCACCGA